CGGACAAACACACTCGACGCAGTGCCCACACGGGGCGGCAGAGCGGGAGCGCCCACAGGCACGCACGCCTCGCCGTACCCACTGCTGCTGCCGCAATTGCACACGCACACACCGTTCCTCATGCTCGCCGACGCAGTCCCGGGCGCGTAGCAGTAAGTGTCCCTGTCGCAGTCGTCGCACCCAACAACGTCGATGCTCCCAGCGTCGCCAAAACCAGCCGCTGCGTACTCCTCCGCCGTCGACAGGACACGGCCACCAGCGTCGTTGCACGCCACCCTCAAATGCGCCCCAGCCGCAAGCGACAGGCCCGCCGACAGCATCCGTGGCAGCAGCGCTCGGTTGTGCACAAAGCTCAGCGTGCTCCCAGCAGCGGTCACTGCACCAGCGGCGTGGAGCATCTCCCTCGAGGCGCCGTCGTGCACGTTGCCCTTCGCCAGCAGCATCGACCCTCCGGCCAGCCTCACCGTCGAATAAAACGCCACCGCGTAGTCCTCCGTCGACGAAAATTCGTTCCGCACAAGCGCCGCAGCAGAGCCCGACACGCTCACAGCCCCACGCACAGACACCGCGTGCTTGCACAGCAGGAAGTCGCTGTCAGCAAACGCCACAACGGAGCCGCCGCTGGCAGCAACACCGCCCTCCACCGACACGCACAGCCCCAGCGCCGTCTGCACCAACAGCCCGTCCACGTACAGCGCACCGCGCGACGACAGCGCCACGCCGCCAACCACCAGCACGCCAACAGCGTCGCGGAACACCGCCGCCACATGCGTGCGCGCAATGGTCAGCACGCTCCCCGTCAGATTCACTTTCTGCAACACGAGGCACGCGGAGGCATCGCCAAGGCCGTAGGCGCCGCGATACGCAACACGCCTCTCTGCGATCAGCAGCGAGTCCACCACGGTGACGCGCGAGCCCGGCGGGTATCGGCTCGCCACCACCACGCCGCCGCCGGAGCGCGACTCAAGCCCGCTAATCAACACATCGGCGCGCTCGCCAGCAGGCGGGTCGGACCTCCACCCAACAACGTACAGGCTCGCTCCGTCCAAAAACGTGCAGTTCGCCAGCGTCACGTTGCGCACGCTCCCTGACATCGACGCCACGTCCACCACGACGTCCGCCGCAAAGGTCAAGCCAACGTAGCATACCACCGACGTCCCGAAACTGACTTTCACCTCCACATCACAACGCACGTCGCGCACGCACAAGTCGGCGCCGTCGGTGCTTGGTGGCTCGGGGACAGCGACAGGCAGGCACGCTTCGCCGTACCCGCCCTCCGCGCACGTGCAGGCGCAGACATCACTCGAGGCCGTCGTCGTGTACGCAGGGAAGCACGATGCCGCGAGAGTGCATGGGTCGCTGCAGGTCAGAATAGTGGCATTGTACACGGACGGTATGCTGTATTTCACTCCCTCCTCACCGTTCACAGTGTTGCACGCAGCCACAATCTCTCCGTTTGTGGGATCGCGGGACCTTTTGGGTATCCGCAGCACCGTCGGCGTCACCGTGCTGGACATGAATCGGTTGCCGGACACTGACACCGCGGAGTCGCGGAGATTCACCGTGGAGTAAAATAAAGCAAAGGCCTCCGATGGGGATTCACGGCAGAGGTTGCCGCTCAACTGCAGCCAGGAGTTGTAGTAGATGTAGGAAGAGTATCTTGGGAAAAAAACAACCAAGCTTCCCTGCATGTCGTTGCCCTGAAAAACAACCGCTGACTGGGACTCCACACTTAAGACCGACAAAATGTTCATGAAGTACTGCACCGGCCTCGTCACAACGTTGCCTCGGATCACCACAGCAGAGTTGTTCAGTACGCTCAGCAATGAGGACTGGCCAGACCTTTCAAGATATATCAGCGTGCCGTTAGCGCCGTCCATATGAAACACGTTGCCCACCACCGCAAACACGGAGTGCCACGACACCCTCAGCGCAGATCTGACAACGTGAATGGCGCTTGACGATGCCGTCATGGCCTGAAACACGTTGCCACTAAGCACCACCGCGGAGTCGTTGCTGATCGCCAGTCCATTCATCGCGACACACGACGGCTTCCTAAGGACCAAACCCGACCGAGGGATCAGCCTCGTGACAATGAAGCGGTTCCCGCTGATCGTGATGTTCGTTTGCGGTGGGAACACACCCTCCGGGCTGAGCAGCGCGTCACTAAAACTGTTGCCGGTGACGACGATGTTCAGCGACCCAACAGCGGCGTGCGCGTTGCCCAACAGCAACAGCACGGCGCCGTCCCTCCACGTGCATCCATCGAACGTGACGTTCGCCACGTCGCCCGTCATCGCTCCGACCAGCACCGTCAGGCTCATGCCGCCCCCGCTGAACGTCACGTTGCGGTAGCACAGCCACGACAGCCCGCCGCCCACTGCCTGCGCAACCTCGGGGTACACCATGTCGCTGATGCACTCACCAACTGGCGGCAGCGGCGGTGTGCGTGGGGGCGATGGCGGCGACGGCAGTGGTGGCGGCGGGCCAGCAGGCACAGGCGCCGGGACACACACATCGCCGTGCCCTCCAGCAGCGCACCGGCACTTGCAGTCAATGACCGCCGTCGTCAGCGGAGCAAAGCAGTCGCCGTCCTTCGTGCACTCCCCGCAAGCAGCAACCGTCGTCACGTTGGTGATGCCGTGGAGCTCCAGTTCAGCTGCCGTCGTCACCTCCCGTCCCGCGACCTTCAGGCACCCAGCAACGAACCGGTAGCCAGCGTCAGCCCGAGATAGCAAGGAAACCGACAACCCCGTCGAGCCCATCGTGCAGTCCGTCAGCGTCACCACACTGCTGCCGTCAATGCTCACAAAAGTGGGATCACAGTCCTTGAAAATCGCACCCACACCCACGTCGTTGTCACGCCAATCCAGCCAGCTTGACTGCTGAACGGTCCAAAATTTGTTAGCGTAAATTGCATAGAATGAAAAAACACTGTTCCCCACCACGCGCAACACACTGTGTTCCGACACGCTGAATCCGTGGCGCAGATAAAAAAGGCTTGCCCCAAAAGAAATTCTATTGTTTAGCAGCGCAAAAACAGAGTGATTGCGGACAATGAGGATATTCATGTGCAGCAGGTGTGTGTATCCATCGAAGCTGCAGTACCGCGTGTAAAGCGAGCTGCCGCCCACCAGCTTCAGCGTCCCAACCGAGTACAAGCCAGGCCCACGATACCTCGGTGCATGCGCCTTGACGTTGCTGACCAACAACGAGGAAGCATTCAAAAAAACGTTCTGCAGCAGCACCACGTTCAGCATTTTGCTCATAAGGTCAAGTAGCTGAACCTCAGAGGACTGCACCGCGTCAACCTCCGTGACGGCGATGTCGCAGTGCAGCGGGAGGGCGAGTGCAAACACAACAACGGAGAAACGCATCACCGTCCGGCTCACGCGGATCAGGATACCAGATGACTCGGTCGCCTCAGCGCCACCAACAAACTGCAGCGCAGCACCCTCACGGAATGTGCACCCAGTGAGCGTGATGTTGATGGGGAGATGCAGCGGCATGCTGTTGAGGGAGAACGTCAGCGCAGCACCCATGCCGCTGAATATCACACCTGCGTAGCAGTGGTGCGTCTTCCACATGTTCAGCGTGAGGTCCGTCAGCGTCTGGTCCACCACGCAGCTCGTGTCGCCGTCAACAGCTCTCTCCGGCAAGGGCGGCAAAACCGTGTCGGGTACCTCGAAGAAAAGACACGACGCGCCATGCCATCCGTCCTTGCAGCTGCACGAGCACGAGCTGCGGTCCACCGACTCCGTCCCGGGCATGTAGCACGCCGCGTCGTCGTCGCATGTGCCACACCTGAAAATCACCACGCCCTCCGGAAGCACACCGTCGTACGACGCCTCCTCACCGCCCTGCAGGTTGCACCCAACCACAAACCTTGCGGGTAGCTCAACAATCGTGTCTGGCGGAGAAAGATCAGCAAAGGGATAACTATCGTCCACCTGACGGTTGTTTGCAAGCGCCACGGTGGTGCCGCTGCCCGACAACTTAACTTTGTACTGGGAATGCGGAATAATTAATACTGAGGCTGCACCCACGCTGTTGCCCTCTACACGCCACTGCGCACCGCCCTCGAGAGTCACTGAGCCAGAAACATACACCAGCGCGGGATCCAAAAATTCAGTCCCGCCAATGAAGGTGCAGTCCGCCACTCGCAGCAGCCCCGCGGAGCTCACGGTGGTAACCGCCAAAAGACAAACGCCATTTAATGCGCTCATCGTGTTGTTCTCCACGTCAATGTAGCCGCCGTTCCTCACATCAACAGCGGGAAAACAAACGGCTGATGCCGATCTGTAATCCCTCTTCCTTGTCCTCAGCGTATTCCCCTGCACAATGATCCCGCCACCATCAACAACAACAACATCGGGAAAATAAACTGCATAAATATTCCCCTCGATGCAATTGTCGAGCAGCAGCAGCGTCGTGTTCGCATCAAAAGTAAACCTCGGGAATCGGGTGGCGTAACTCGACGTCGTCACAAGCGTACTGCCCACCACCAGTATCAGGGAGCTCACGCCAAAATCACCCCCAAACTCCAATGCACCAGAATCCAATACCGAGGATGTCACGTTCACGTGCACTCTCGCACCACTCCCCCTGATCAACAGGCCCACGAGGACGCACTGCAGCAGCGTGATGTTGAGTGTCTGTTGTGGTGCGTCGAAGCTCCACAGGTCCAGGAATATCGGGGCAGTGAAGGTCACGTTGAAAAAGCACAGACCACGCACACCGGGATCAGGATAGTCCACGGAGCTGATCCTGCCACCATGCACGCAGCGGACCTCCGAGTCCTTCGCATCGGGGAGCGGGAGCGGTCCAAGGCCGTCCGGAACCGCAGCCGGCAGACACGTGTCACCGTGGCCGCCAGCAGCGCACACGCACTCACAGCCGCTGATGCTGCTCGTCCTCGCTGCAAAGCACACAGCGTCCATGGTGCACGCACCACAGTCCAGTGCCGTCACGGGTGCTCCAATGTTGAGATCGTCTTGGTAATCCGTCACAGGAGAGCCCCTTGCCTCGTTGCACATGCCGTAGATGATCGGGCGAGAGTCGGATGGTGGTGACCAGTTGCTGGTTATGTGTGCGATGGTTGACGAGTACGAACCGCACGTAAGTTTGTTGTAAAGTATCGACCACACACTCCGATCGCAAAACGCGACGCCGTTCTCCTTAGCCAAGTACACAACGTAGGCGGTGCGGAACTCGTTGTCGCGATGCACCAGCCAGCTGCCGCCGGTCACGGTCAGCCTTTTTACCATGAGCATGGCGAAGCCGAGACGGAAAGTGCTGGACACAACCTGCAGCACGCTGCCGCCAGCCACCACAACGTCCCCAAACATACACGCACCTTCGTAGTATTCGACGCTCGGCGCACTCCACGAGCTGTTCTGTATGGAGAACACGGAGCCGCTAACAACATGCAAATCCGACGCAAGGGCGTGCATCACGTGCGTCTGCGAAACGACAGCGCAGTTGTCCATGTAGAAGACGCTGGACAGGTTCACGCCAAGGCCGCGCTCCACGAGGATCGCAGCGCACGAGCCCCCGCCACAAACCAGCATCGACCGCGTCATGACAAACCGCGTCGACAGAAGCCGGACACCGTCCAGGACAAGCGCGGGGCCGTACCAAAACCCTTCGTAGCCACGGGTCGTCGTCACGTACTGCGACCCGCCAACCGTCGCGCGCAGCGTCGAGTTCGCCAGCAGCACACTCGAGTTCGGCGGCATCGCGCCATGCAGCACAATCACGCCCTCCAGCGACGTCACATTCGTCATGTTGACGAGAGCGTGGGGCATCAGGCGCGCCGTGCTCTCGCTGAGGCCGCCAATCCGCAGCTGCGCGCCGCCCGCAAGCACGCAGTGGCGCAGCGTCACGTTCAGCGCGTCAGCGAACGCGTCCATCGAGCGCAGGTCCACCGTCACAGTGATCGGTCCGCTGAACACCACCGAGTCGAAGCACGCCGTCGCACGCCCGCCGCCAACCGTCACGGACTCCGTCAGCGTCACGCCACTCACGCAGCCCTGTGAACCGCCACCACCACCGCCAGCCCTCGCAGGCGGCACATCGAACGGCAGGCACGCCTCGCCCACGCCGCCGGCACGGCAGCTGCACACGCAGTCGGAGAACGACGCCGTCAGTGCATCAAAGCACGCCAGCGCGGCCGCACAGCCGTCGCACGGCACCACGCTCACGGAGGGCAGGCCGGCCATGCGGTAGTCGCCGCTGCTCTGCAGCACCCGGCCGCCGGCACGGTTGCACTGCACCGACACGACGCCGCTCGTGATTGCCGGCCCGGAGACAAGCGTCGCGCCAGTGGCAGCGCAGCGCGCAATCGACACGGTGCCGCCGCTCAGCGTCACACCCGACAGCGACGCCACCGACGACGCCTCGCCCACCGCCCACACGTCGCGCAGCTCCAGCCACCCGCCGGCACCGATCGTCCCACCGCCGCAGCGCACCAGCGACGACGCAGCAGACCCCTCGACGCGCACGAAGCGCAGCACCGAATCAAACACCGCGAGGCGCTCTCCAAGCACAATGCCGCCGCCGCCGCTCACAACCGACACACTTGTCACGGAGAACACCGAGTGGCTCCGCAGACTGAGGCGCGACGAGGACGCCACATGCATCGCAGACGCGGTCGGACCGCCCGACGCCTCCAGCAACAAGCCGTCAAGCACCACCGCGCTCGACAGCAGGTCCACGTCGCCGCCAAAGTACACCGCCGACCCGCCCGCCTGCAACGACCTCAGCACAGTGCTGCTCACACGCAGCTGCGTCCGCAACAGCGACGTCGCGTGCAGCACAAGCGGCGACGCCACCGCGTCCGTCAGCCCGCTAAGCTGCGAGAAGCGCATCGGCCCCGCCGTCACAATCGTCGAGTCACGGACAGTCACGCTCGTGTGTGCCGGCAGGTTGTGCACAAACACGAGCGAGCAGTAGCTCCCGGACAGCCCGCTCACGCTCACCTCCAGGCTCCGGTCACTCGCCGGCTCGCCGCTGTAGCCCCGCACGTAGATCTGCGCACCACCGTCGCACACGCAGTTCCTCAGTTCGATGCGCAGCGCGCCGGGAAGCATCGCCGGCACGTCGAACACAACAGCCACGCCGTTCGTGATGTACACGCCGTCCATCAGCACCGTGTCCACGGCGCGGCCAACCGTGATGGCTCTGTCCACAGTGCCGCCCCGCAGTCGCAACACCACCGCATGCACCGCGGGCATAAACGCCGCCGCCGCAACCAGCACCAACACAAAAAGAAGCGCCGCACGCACAGCCACAATGGCCCTGCGCTGCACACGGTGCCGGCTGCGCGGACACGCGCCCACAACAGACCACATCCACCGACCCAAACAGATATCAACAGGGCTGTCGTGGTGTGTCGCACTCGCCCCGTCGACCATAACTCCTGCCTAGCAAATCCCTTCCTACAGATGGGAAGTCCAGAAATACAATCCCGATAAATCGATATCCCAGTACTGCTAATCCTAATACTGCAATTAATCCCTAGTAGCTTGAAACGATAGTTGTGGTGGTCAATCCAAAGTATCTCTATCTGCTTGATCAGAGGAAAAGAAAGCAGAGACAACAGCAGATAAAGAAATTGGCACGCAGAAGCATCCGTTCACAGACAGTCCCCACCAATGCACAGCCACCGACACAAAAAAGCACAGACGCAATAAAGTCAGTGACACCCTCGTCCTTCCACCGCCCACGCAGCTCCACAGAGCCACCATGCAGAGTGGCGCTATTTCAGCAAAAAGACACATGACCATTGGCACCGCTCCTGTTGCCGAATGGCTGCATCACAGAGCAGTCCCGATGCCGTGAAAGAAACACAAGAGCCGAGACAGACCCACGTGGCGGCGTCGCAACCGACAGCCATCGAGCGCGTAAAAGAATAAAGTGGTGACGCGGAAAAGGGGTGGAGGATTCGCCAGTTGCCAGCAGTCAAAGCGCCGTTTCTAGCTCACGTGGGTCGGCATTGCACAACAGACAGCGGCACCATACGCGCAGACGGCATTACACACAGAAGGAAGGGATGAAGAAGCACGGCGGTGGCCCCCAGTCACGAGAAACCCTAACCCAAATCAATTGCAAAGTCCGATTGGATCGCAGCCGTCTGGATGGTGGTCGCGTCGCTGCCGTGCGGTGCGTGTGTCCGCAGAATACTGCAATGATGAAGAAAGGGGAAAGAGACGCAGTGCGGTCCTCGTCCATCTCAGTTGGTCGTGGCAAAAACAACACCATCCCTCCAGATTGCCTGCGGCAAAGACTGTCGCATTCAGCAGAGGTTGGTGCCTTCCTCCCCAAACTGGAGCGCCACTCCACCAAAGCCGTCGCTCGCCGCCTCCCCCACCGACACAACGAGGGAACAACAGCGGACGATGCGACACGTGCGACGAGCACGCAGCCACCGTGACCAAGAAAGGGAAGCTGCGCAGCGCAAGCAAAATGAAAATACAATAAGTACTCCATCATTTCAATAGGACGTGGAGGCGCCGCAACCCACACAAAAAACGCAAAGCCGTGCAGTGGCCGTTTCTTCTTTTGCATTGAGTACTCTCAAATAACTCCCATGGCCGCACGCCAGCCACCATCGTCGAGCACATCGGCCCAATAAGTAGGGAAGTGAAGAAGAGTCCCGGCCCCAGGAGAGGGCGCTGCAGTGGAGGGCGTGAAACACACACTTGTTACGCATCCTCCACGATCAATCGCGGTGTCTCAATCATCCGTTTTTGCCAATAATCAGTAAAATAACAAGCCCGAATAGTCTTCTGGGCCGCTGGCCGGATCCTAAATTTATCTATATAAACCAAACAGGATAGGGAAAAAAAGGGGATTAATGTAGAGGCATTTAATTGACTCAATGTTTTCTTCTGATTAAATATATATATATTCTTTTGAGCGCTAAAGTGACCTTTTGTACTCAGCTAGGATCTAGAATGTTATTGCTTACGAAGTGGCAGTCTTTTTGGTCCTCCAGCCACAATCCCCCGCCGCATGGTGGGAATCAAGGGGGTGTGGGTGGAATGGCAAAATAAAAATAAAATTATCTAGCCGCCATCGGTTCCCTGATGTCCTTAAAGTCGTGGCATTCCCAAAATTCGTAATAAAAAAGTGTGTCGTAAAAAAATTGTATTCGTTTTATCAGGATATATACAGTAATTTGGCCAGCTCTCCCGCGATCATTCTCTTCACAAGCTCCTAGAAAAAATTATATGGAGAGACATAAATACGAAAATAAGCATCAATAAAAACAAAGTAACTTTTTGATACTCATACCCACACCGATATCGCTATACATTGATCGATGCTTATCTTCTTGTTTATATGGATACATCCCTTTTCTCCCCTCCAAATTGACAAATTGCTTGGTTTCTTGGTTTATTGAATTGCTATTCTATTGGCCGCATATGTATGTAGATAGACATGTAAATATCGGTATTAATATCTATTCAGTGCTGTTGATATATATATCGCTATTATCCCTCGTGTCTGCTCAAACAAATACGAAGACTCACACGCCAGCCGCCATCGCAGAGCACGTCCGCCCAATGATCGGAGATCTAAAAGAAAGCCCCGGCACCCGAAGTGGGAGCCGCATCGGAGTAAATGCAGAATTGCCTCTTCGCACAGTTTAAATCGGCCGGTTCTCAGAATTTCCGGTCAATGCCGTGGCGCGCCGTGCGGTATCGGGTCAGTCAGGCATTGCTGTGGCACGGAAACCCGCACGCTAAACGGCGAAACTAAACTGGTGGTGGTCGCAGCGGGATGTCGTCGCCGAGCGACGTGCGTCTTCTCGGTGGTCTGGCCCCTCTGCCGTCGTGGAAATCGGCGACAGCGTGACGTTCAACAACGCATGTGTTCTTGCCATTTTAGGCACGCGGTGCACTGTTTCTCAGTGGTATTCTCCTACGCGGAGACGGGGTTTCTGTGTAGGTTTGTTGTTCTTCATGCGGAGATTCGAGCCTTGCAGTGCGTGGCTATTTAATCTGCATTTTTAGTGTCACGACTTTCTTGCTGTCGGGTGTTTGTGCCGGGCGTGGGTGGTCAATCCCCGGCATTGCCCGCCTGCCTGTCACATCAAGGGCGTTTACAAGGTGCTTCCCTCTTCGGTGCCGACCGTGGCTCTGTTCTGGAGTGTTCGTGTGCCCGTATGCGGGATAGTGGTCCCGCTTTCGCTTGAACCCTCAATTCACACAGTACGTGCATTCGAGCGCGGTGCATGCCGTCAGACCGTCATATTCCTGGCAACGCCTCCTATTCGTCGGGGGAACTCTTGCTTGTGGAAGTGTCGAAGATAAAATACGGTTCCGGCTTGCTTTTCGTACGACACCGTGCGAAAACTGCATGGAAGTGGCTTCGGCATGGGCTTTGCAGTCTGCGGCGGAGGTGCGATCGGTGTGCCGTCTCTCGCTCTCGTCCTCGCCCAAGCGCTGAGCGGGGGTTCCGGTGGGATTTCTGGCGGCTCCGGCTCACCGGGAAAGCTGAACTCCCGCAGCGCCTGGGAGCGCGTAATGCCCTGGGCGTTAACCATGTGCGTCACGACACCAGTGTAGCAGCTGCAGTGTTTGCCGTACACCGGATAGCCTGCCGGGAGTCGGATCGTGGCGGTGTGGGGTCCAGCGGGAGGAGGAGGCGTTTCCGTGCGAAGTTCTTTGAGTGCCTGTTGTGAGGCATCCGCGCCACGCCAACGGCATGTGCGTGGGATGGCGGGTTGCAGTGGCCGTGGCAGCCATCCGTATTTGTGAGAAACTCCGGTGCAGAAGCGGGCCAGTGCAGCCTCTTCCCCACGAGTGAGAGTGGCGTCCGTGCAAGTGGGTTCCCAGTCGCCTGATACAGTGGAGCGGTAGGCTTCTGGCTTGAGCTGTCGGGCACCAATAATACGTTCGGCCAGTGCAACGATGCCGGTGCTCCATGTGCCTCTGAGCTGTGCGAGGTCGGACACCTTCTCGGCTTATGCACCACAAGCTCCGTTCCTGGGCACGCCGCAGTGGCCAAAAACAAACTGCATCCGTGTGCACGCTCCTCGGTGCTGCTGGCAAGAAAAAAGGGTACGTCCACAATGTGAGTCGCCAGGTGATCCAGAACCGTCGACGTGTGCTTGCGTGCTTCCACGGTTCCACGAGAAGGCGCATAGACGCACGCCGCCGTGGAAAAAGTCCCGGTGAATATCGTACTCTCCATGCCAACACCACACCCCTCTGTGTCTGCTGTGGTGCATGAAATTCGCACGGCCGGAGGGAAATTGGAAAAAAGAAGGAATTCCTCGTGTGGGCGTCCCTGTAACAGCGTGACCGATCCGCGACAATATCCTTTGCCCGTGGAGCGCGGTGTGCCAACTACATCAATGGCAGCGCCGTGAAGGGATGTGCAAATTGCCGGAATTGGCCGCCACACCTCCTGCACACACAAAACGTGCGGGCCGTCTCGGGCAACGAATCCCAATGCCGCAGCATCCAAGGCTCGAGCGTTCCACATGCACACCTGAGGGATCCAGCCATGGAATGCGGTGCGCTTGAAGATTATTGTGGAAAGTGACTGGGATGGCTTGGTCCGTCACTTCCACCGCTAAAGAGACATCGATCACCCTGTGCAATCGCCACGCCAGGGCAGCCCGAAATCACAGCAATACGTCACGCCTCAATACATAATCTCGCTCGAAGGCGTTCCTGAAAACCTGGAGTCCTGCTACTACTCTGCCGCCGCTTTGCTTCTGAAAGCTGTAATGCCTCCTGCATGGAAACCCACGGTAAGGCAGGGCTGCAATTCACTACTTCCACTAGGCGGTTCGCTGGATCCCTCCTCCATTGCACGAAATGAGTGCCGAGTTCCTCGCACGCAACTCCACAAAATTACAGTCCGATAAAACGCAACACCAGCAGTAACAAGAGCGGCAATTCAATCCCCTTCCACACAGTCATCGTGAAACGGGAAAGACTCCTGAAAGCACTCGCTCAAAATGGGATCATTTCACAAACAACGACCGACAACACGGTCGGTGCGGTTAACGATGGCTGGCTGTGGTGCGTAGCACATCCGTGGCCCTGCGTCCTCCCGCATCAACCAGCACCGCACGCCTGTCAGTTCTACGCGTTGCACATCACAGGAGGGCGCGATCACTTTTGCGGCTCGCACTGGATGCACGGTCAAGTAGACTCAGTGCGTCTGAGCGGGTGTCACCGGCCACAGACTGCAACGGCACTGCGGGTGGTCGGTACAAGGACGCGCCGGTGGTGTCTGAGGCGTACGACGATGACGCCATGTCGTACGGCTTCCGCGTCTCTTCGTCGCTCTCCTCGTCATCGCGCAGCAGCGCATCCAGTCCACCACGCCGAGGCTCGCGCAGCTCCTGCCAGTGGTGGTCCTCCACGTACCACACAACGACGCCGTACACAGTGACCGCAACCAGCACGATGGTCAGCAGCAGCACCATCGCCGCGTACGCCCTCGCACCGCCGTCGCTCGGCGCAAGATGGTTGGCCGCGCTCACCACGCACAGCGCCGCAAGCAGCACAAAACTCGCCGCGTGCATCACCGTCAGGAAGGCCGAGCGCATCATGTTCGTGAAGGCAACCACGCCCGCACCCGCAAGCAGCACTGCCGCCATGCAGAAGTACTGGACGTGGCAGCCTCCCACGGGCGGGTGCACAGCCGCAATCAGGCCCACCACACACAGCACCGACAGCTGGAACACGCACCAGTACACGCGGCTGCCCCTCATGCTCGTCAGCATGCTGCCGTACATCCGCTGCTGCGCCGCGGGGTGCCAATACCCGACGGGGTACAGCAGGCGCTCGTGCAGCGGCTTCCTCGAAAACTGCCAGTACCTCGTGAAGCTCGCTCCCACGTGGCGAGCAATCAAGTAGCACACGCCAGCAGGGAACGCCACACCGTACAGCACGCCAAC